AGCTGTTCTTCAGTGTTTAGTGTTGCACTTGCCAGATGTCGCGCTTGATCATGCTGTTCTTGTGTTTATGCACGCCGTTCGCCCAGATATCGCGCTTGATCATGCCTTTTCTTGCTGTTTCATGTTTCACACTGCCAGATGTCGCGCTTGATTCATGCTGTTCTTGTGTTAGTTCACACCTACCCAGATGTCGTACTTGATTGTGCTGTTTCTTGATGTTTAGTTCGCACCTAGTCAGCAGAAGCTGCTAATAAAACCGCTTGCGCATCGGCCGGCTGTGTGCTGAATTCAACCGAACTGTTTCTCACAAGAGCAGCTGCAAGCCGCAAGACCAGGAGCAAGCTGCGAGCCGCAGAACAACAAAGATGCTCCACTGGTAAGGTAGCTTAGCAACTAGGCTAGCCAGCTAGACCTGCAGTCTAATAACACTGCCCAGCAGCTGGTCACAGTTACAGCAACTACAGCATTAGTTCACAGTTACAGCACTAACAGCAGTTAGTTCTCAGTTTACAAATCTAGTAGCAGTAGACTATAAGAGTTATAACACTATAGTGTAGTACATAGTAACACTATAGAGTATAAGATAGAGTGTTAGCCACCTAGTAAAGCAGCTAGTTCACAGTTACAACACTAACAGCCAGCCTAGTCACAGTTACGAACACTACAGCACCTGCTAGTTCACAGTTACAACACTAACAGCAGTTAGTTCATAGTTACAACACTACAGCAGCTATTCACAGCTTACAACACTAACAGCTGCTAGTTCACAGTTACGAACACTAACATCAGTTAGTTCATAGTTACAACACTAAAACAGCTTGTTAGTTCACAGTTACAACACTAACAAGCTGCTAGTCAACAGCTTTTGCGACACTCAACAGCATGCTAGCTTCACAGTTACAACACTACAGCTGCTCCTAGTTTTACAGTTACAACACTAACAGCTGTTAGTTCACAGTTACAAACACTAACATCTGCTAGTTCACAGTTACAGCACTAACAGCTGCTTAGTTCACCCCCCCCCCCCCCCCCCCCCCCCCCCCCCCCCCCCCCCCCCCCCCCCCTCAGTTACAAGCACTAACAAGCAGATTAGTTCACAGTTACAACACTAACAGCAAACTGTTAGTTCACAGCTTAACGACACTAACAGCTGCCTAGTTCACAGTTACGACACTAAACAGCAGCTAGTTCACAGTTACGACACTAAAGCTGCTCAGTTCACAGCTTACGACACTAACAGCCCAGCTATAGTTCACAGTTACGGACACTAAACAGCTGCTAGTTCACAGTTACAACACTAACAGCTGCTAGTTTCACAGCTTACAGCACTAACAGCAGTTAGTTCCACAGTTACTAACACTAACAGCTGTTAGTTCACAGCTTACAACACTAACAGCCTGCCTAGTTCACAGTTACAACACTAACAGCTTGCTAGTTCACGTTACAACACTAACAGCTGCCTAGTTTCCAGTACAGCACTAACAGCTGCCCTAGTTCACAGTTACACACTAAACAGCTGCATAGTTCACAGTTCACGACACTAACACCAGCTAGTTCACCTAGTTTACAGCACTAACAGCCAGTTAGATTCACAGTTACAACACTAACAGCCTGCTAGTTCACAGTTACAACACTAAACAGCCTGCTAGTTCACAGCTTACAACACTAACGCAGCTAGTTCACAGTCTTACAACACTAACAACAGCTAGCTTCACAGTTACAAACACTGAACAGCTGCCTAGTTCACAGTATACAACACTAACAGCAGCTTAGTTCACAGCTTACAGCACTAACAGCTGCTAGTTCACAGTTTTACAACACTAACAGCCAGTTAGTTCACAGTTACAGCACTAACAGCAGTTAGTTCACAGTTACAACACTAACAGCTGCTAGTTTCACATGTTACAAAACCTAACAGTGCTAGCTTCACAGTTACAGCCACTAACACAAACAGCTGCCAAATTCTCAGTTACAACACTTAACACTAGTAACAGCAGTTAGTTCACAGATTACAATCTTAGCAGCCAGCTAGTTTTTATGCAGAATATGCTTGTAATAATTGTAAGTGCATGTTGGCATACGCCGATCTATTTAGCTACGCGTGTCTACTAGACTTAATTGTTCTGGCATGTATTTTTGTCGTGTAGGACGATCCTGCACAGCTAGTGGCAGGATGATCAGCAGCGGAACTGATGAAGGAACCATTAGCATGGTATGTTGAATATGCTTCAACTGTCATTAAGCCATTGAATATTGCGATGAGTAGTTTGTCATTCGTATATTCACAACACATGCGGATAAAGGTACTGATGTGATTGCTCCTTGCGTTCGTTGGATCACATCGTACTGCTGCCGATTGTTACTATACTTAAGTTTATTGTAGGTTGCCATGACGACGAAGACGACGACAGACAACCAATGACTGCCAGCATTTCTAGCGAGGATGCTGGACAATAGACTGGGATCTGATGCAGCCCTTCATCCAGTGAAGCACACATTACAGCAACAGCAGCAGCAGCAGGGGCGATAGAGTGCATCTCCAGCTATGAGGAGCTCGTACTGAAGTACACGGTGAGCTATCTGCTGCCCTCTTACGCCAGCAACTCCCTTGCAAGAGGAACCAGAATACAAGCAAAAG